GATAAAGATGGAAAATCCCCAAAGAAAATATGCACAAGCACTTCTAACAAAATTTTCAAGGAATAATCTACCATGAGCAATTGATACATTCTAGAAATTCTAAGATTGGAAATCAGTATCATAAATTGAAAGAAGAAAAATCATATTAACACAATGGCTATTTTTTAATTTATTTTTCATTTATAAATACATTTTTTACATTATTCTTCATTTTGTACATTTTTTCATCTCAGTTGTAACCCAATGGCTATTTAAAAAATGTATTTGCTGAGATATCAACATCCTTCCTGATTTAAAAACAAAAAAAAAAAGTGATGAATAAACCAAGAATGCAGGTCACCAACACCTAAGCTGACACCTGAAAAAGAATCACTGGGGGCACAATTATTAAACAGGGCAGGATGCCCACCTGACCACCATGAAAACAGGAAGCTATATGCAAAGCAGCTTATAAGAGAAAGGATAATTATCTCTTAAGAGTGAGCAAAATTATCAACCTTAGAAACCATACAAATGTCTACCAAGCTACTGAAAACAGTAAACACAAAGTTAGAAAACACCATAGGAAAAGATATCATTGAAAATGTCAAAAAAACATTTTTTTAATTGAAAGAGTATCTAAAGGTTACTTTAAAATTATAATCTAGACTATGGTGATACCACACAGGTGATTTGGTGATGGGAAGTCCACAGGGATTACAACTGAGCTGGAAAAATGCACAACATGATGTAAAAATAAACTATTATATTATTTTTAAAAATTATAATCTAGAAATCTTCCATGTTTCTGGACAGGAAGACACAGTATGGAAATTCTCCATAAATTAACTTTATACAAGGCAGAATGCTAATCATGTCGCAGATATTAAACCCAAAAGGCAGGAATTGGGGACAACCTGACAAAGTAATTTAAATCATGTGATAATGTCAGGATGTGAAGAAGAAAGAGGTGGGAAAATTTTGAAAATAACAGAAACTTGAAATGTCAGGTATCAAACATTTTAACATTAAAATAACTAAGACATAGTGAGATAAACCAGAAAGAGAAAGAAAAATACCGGATGGTTTCACTCATAGCAGGAGTATAATGGACCAGGCAAGAAAATAACAAGATTAACGCACAACCATATACCAGAGACATTTTGTGGGGGTGGAGTGGGGAATGGGATAAAAAATGGGGGGAGGGGGAATGCACGGGTGACTTGGTGATAGGAAACCCGTGGGGATTACAATTGAGATGAAAAAAAAAAATGTACAAAATGTTGTAAAAATAAACTGTTATAAAATAAAAATTTAAAAATAACGTATGAAGAAACTCACTAAAAAAAATAAAAAAATAAAATAAGACAGCGTGATTTGAAAATGCTAGTAAAACAACAGATGAAACAGAAAGTCCTCAAATAGGTCCAAATATCCAGAGTGAGCAAAATTACCAACCTTAGAAAACACACAAAGAATTGGGCAAATGATAGGATTAGTCAGTAAGTACTAAGGCACTATCTACAATAGCTAAGGTATACAAATAACATAAATGTCCCTAAACAGATGAATGATCAAGAAGATATGGTATGGGGCCCTCCCTAGTAAAGCAATGGGTTAAAGCATATTACTATGAAGCTATCCACAGTCATTGCAGCAGAGTTCGATTCCATACTAGGGAGCTGACCCACATGGCCCAGCAGATCTCTCCTGTCTCACCCACTGCTCCTCTCAGCAGTGTATTTCAGTAAACTGTCTGCCTTGCTCCCTACTCTGTCTCTGGTGAACCCTTACCCCTGCACCTCTGTTCTGTACCTTTGTTCTGTATGCATAAATAATCTTTAAAAAAAAAAAAAAAAAAGAGGATTCTAATAGATGCTACAACAAGCGACCAACAAGGACATGTGGAGTGAAATAAGACACAAAAGGGCAAATACTGTTTGATCCCACTTACATGTGGTATGCAGAGTAATCAGATTTCAAATAAACACAAAGGTGAATAATTTCGGGCAGAGGGCTGAGGGAGAGAATAAAAGCGGAGGTGTTTTAAGTATAGACTTTAAGTTTGAGAAGACGAAAATGTTCTGGCTATGGATGGTACTGATGGCCACACAACAATGCTCTTAACAACACTGAACACTGCACTTTAAAATGATTGCAAAGACAAATTTATATGATGTGTATTGTATCACAGTTAAAAACAAAAAAGTGGGCCCTCCCTGGTGGGTTAAAGCACTGCACCAAGAAGCTAAAGCCACGTCCGCATGAGTTCGATTGCCGCCTGCCCCGGAGGTGACCACATGGCGTGGCAGACCTCTCCTGACCCGCCCACTGCTCCCCTCAGCAGTGTACTTAATCGATCTGCCTGTTCTGCTTCCCGCTCTATCTCTGGTGAATCCTCTCACCCTCCGCATCTCTGGCCTGTACCCCTGTTCTGTACGAATAAATAAATAAATCTTTAAAAAAAAAGTGACAGTTTAACGAAAAAACACATTTTAAAGAGAAAAAAAGCATGTTGCAAAATATGCGGCATATGATTGCAATGTTTCACTGAGGTCTTAAATACAATGTATTAATATGTTATATATTATATCATACATTTGAACATAGTATATACTATTAAATACATAATGCTTAATTTATATAAACCTAGTATGTAATTATATTTTGTTAAGAAACATAACTACATAAGCTAATAAATATAAGTATATATTTTAAAAACTTAGAAGGGTATATGTGAAAATGCTGACACTAATTGTCACTAAGTGCTGTGCTTACAGGAAAATTTATTTTTGAGCATGTACTTTAGGGTCATTTCCAGTTTTTCTACAATTACTTTTTGTTTTGAGTTAACACTGGTTGTCAACAGGGTATATGATACAGGGGTACAGGCACCCATCTGTACAAAGAATTCATGGGACCTCACCATACCCACGTCAACAGTGAGACCAATGAAGAAAAGAGGGACAACTACCTTTGGCTGCTGATCTTCATGTGAAAAATGCCCACCAGGACATTTCTAAATAATGCTTTAAGTATAAACCTCCTTGATTACAAAATGAAAAAAGGTAGGCTAGAGTTTGGTGCAGAAAATGGAATTAAAATAGGGGCAGTTTTATGCTGGTGGGAATGCAAACTAGTACAACCACTATGGAAAACTGTTTGGAGGTTCCTCAAACTGCTAAACATAGAGCTTCCCTACGACCCAGCAATCCCACTCCTAGGTATCTACCCAAAAGACACAAAAACACTGATTCAAAAAGAAACCAGTACCCCCATGTTTATTGCTGCTTAATTTACAATTGGAAAAACATGGAAGCAGCCCAAATGCCCAAAAGTAGATGACTGGATTAGAAAGATGTGGTACATATATACAATGGAATATTACTCAGCAACCAAAAAAGAGAAACACATGTCTTTTGCAGCAACTTGGATGGAGCTGGAAAAGATCATGCTTAGTGAGATAAGCCAGAAAGAGAAAGAAAAATACTGGATGGTTTCACTCATAGCAGGAGTATAATGGACCAGACCAGAAAATAACAAAAATAATGAACAACCATATACCACAGACATTTTGTGGGGGTGGAGTGGGGAATGGGATCAAAAACGGGGGGGGGGGAGAATGGTGGTGGCACAGGGGTGATTTGGTGATGGGAAACCCATGGGGATTACAATCGAGATGGGAAAAAAATAATGTACAAAATGATATAAAAATAAACTTTTGTAATAAAAAAAAAAATAGGGGCAGTTTTAGAAGCCTTTATACTAAATGGAAAGGAACACTTTCTCCAGGGTCATTTATATTCAAGTAGAATGCAGTGGGTCAGGGAGAAAGCCACCCATAATAAAGCGCTTCACCCTTCACACTGTTTCCCATAACCTTCATGTGGTGGCACAATGGGTTAAGGCGCAGCACTGCAAGTTAGCAGGAGCCACTTCAGTGAGAGTTTGATCTCCCGCCCCAGAGGTGATCTGCATGGCATGGCAGACCTCTCCTGACCCGCCCTCTGCTCCCCTCAGCAGTGTACTTCATCTGTCTGCCAGTCCTGCTCCCCACTCTGTCTCTAGTGAATCCTCTCACTGTCCCTGCACCTCTGGCCTGTACCCCAGTTCTGGATTCATAAATAAATAAATCTTTTTTTAAAAAAAATCAACTTAAAAAAAATTGGGGCATATCCCTGTTTTTAAACAATTCCTGAGACCAGCACCAAGTTCCCCAAGAAAAAGACCAGGCAAGTAGGTCAGAAAGGATGAGCTCGAATATAAGGGCCTTAGTAGTCTATAGGGCACTCTCCCCAGAATGCAACCCTCCCCACCCTCATTCTCCTCAGCTAAATCACTTTCAGAAAATGTTTTCTAGACAGCAGACCTCAGAGAAAAAGGACCCTTTCTTTCTGTGGCCTTCCCTTGTCACAAACAGTGCTGTTCTGAATTGAGGCTTTATGAGGGAGGGTCCAGATACCATAGCCACGGGTTATGCCACTGACCACAAAAAGCAATGAACAGACATTTGGGTTTAGAGTTCCATGCGGCAGAGGCAGCCTGAATAATTAAGAGTTTCCATCATGCGACTCACATCCACTAAATGTTTACTGAGTGCCTACTAAGCACAGGGCACTCAGTTATTTGTAACACACCAAACACACACGTACACACAGAGCTTTGTTTTGTGTGAGGCCTCAGACTAGGAGAGCAATGACTTAAGCTGAAGGCATTGGAGGTTTGATTCTACATGCCACATGTCTCTGAGATCAGGTAAAATGAGGCAGAAGTAGACGGAGGGCATTCACCCCTGAGGAAGGCTTCCTGGGACACATCCACCAATCCAGTGAATCCCATAGTGAAGGTGGAGAGAACCACACCTAAGGGCAGCAGGTCCTGAGACCCTGGTCCTGGAGAAAACTGCATCAGCAGGTTTATCCATGTGTTGTGAGGAATCCACACCATCCAATCCTTCTCCTCCCACCACCAAAAAAATAATCATATCCATCAACCACCCCTAAATCAGATGTCTTACGTACTTTTGCCCCCATTGTTCTTTAGGACATTGGAAAGGTTGACAGAGGCGGTGCCTAGCAGTTCATTTCTCAAAGTATGGCAGCTCCAGACCTTCAAATCTAAATGACTCTGGGCCGTGACATTCCTGGAAAACAAACACTTGAGTTATCACATTGAGCAGATCAATCACTCCTCTAACTTAGAAGACAGATAAACTATACCACCGACATCTTGGGGGGCAGAAAGGAGGACTCAAACAGAAAGACACTCACAGGCCCTTTCCCCCATAACTGACCCCATAACCATCTAGCTAATAATGAAGGCTCTGTGAGCTCAGTGACGGAGAAACACCTGGGGAGACGCGCCTAAGGCACCAAAGGCAGGGGAGGTAGAGGCCACGCAGGAAGCCCGGTTCATCTGCACCGCCTTCAAGCACTTGTCTTTCCCCCTTAACTTCATTCAAATAGAAGGGGCTTGTGCTTACAAAATGATGATCTCATTCCAGAGAAGCTCCGAGCTGCCAATTCGCTTCCCAGTCTTCTTGGTCTCACTGGGGAGCCCATCCACAGCCACTTCCACAAATGAGTTAATTCGGGGTTGACGGTTATGCACCTTGGGTTTTGCTGATACAACTGGCCAGCAGAAAAAGGAGAAAATCCAGGCTGAGTGAGAGGGCTCCCAGATGCCCCCCTGTGGCAGGCTTCCCAACTCTTATTTGTTATTTCTTAAAAAAAAAAAAAAAAAAAAAAAAGCCTCTGTCCCTGGTGGCACAAGGTGCTGGAGTGCAGCATTGCAAGCCAGCTGCAGCTGCTTCAGTGCCCGGGCCCCAAAGGTGACCTCTCCTGGCCTGATGGCTGCTCCCCTCAGCAGTGTGCTTCAGTAGATCTCCTGTTCTGTTCTGCTCCCTGCTCTGTCTCTGCTAAGTCCTCTTACTGCCCCTGCACCTCTGGCCTGCACCACAGTTCTGTATATATAAATTTTTTTTAATTTTCAAAAAACCTTATTTAAAAATGTGAGGATCTAAGAAAAAAATTGAACACCTAAAAAAGGAAAATCACTCCTAACCTGAAAACACTAGAATAATTAAGACAGTGGTAAATCCAGACTTGCTAGATTTTCATCTTTTATGTCCCTGATTCTTTACAAAATCCTCCCCTCCACTCTCCTCCCCCACCCCAATCTCTTTTAAATGATTGCTGTGTAAGCTCTGTGTGGCTATGCCATAATTTGGTTAGCTATTCTTTCATTGGTGAATAGATGGCTTTCAACTTTTTGCTCCAGGAAAATTACCACAAATAAATTTACATGCACTCCTGAGTACTTTTCCAAAGAGTAAGAACACTTGTTAAAGTCCTTAAAACTACCTAATTCCAGGTCCTCCCTGGTGGTGTAACAGTTAAAGCACAGTACTATGAAGCTGTCTGCAGCCACTGCAGCACAAGTTTGATTCCCTGCCAGGGAGCTGACCCACATGGCACAGCAGACCTCGCCTGACCTGCCCACTGCTCTCCCCTCAGCAGTGTATTTCAGTTAGTCTGCCTGTTCTGCTTCCCACTCTGTCTCTGGTAAGCCCTCTCACCCACTTCACCTCTGGCCTGTACCCCAGTTCTTGTATGCATAAAAATAAATAAGCTTAAAAAAAAAACTACCCAATTGCTTTCCAAAATGGGTAAACCACATAGATCACACAGATGTAGACACTCTTCATACTACAGGAATGTATCCTTTTTTTTTTTTAAGATTTATTTATTTATTCATACAGAACTAGGGTACAGGCCAGAGATGCAGAGGGTGAGAGGGATTCACCAGGGACAGAGTGGGGAGCAGAACAGGCAGATTGTCGAAGTACACTGCTGAGGAGAGCAGCAGGCAAGTCAGGAGAGGTCTGCCGCGTCATGTGGATCTCCTCGGGGCAGGCGGGGATCGAACTCATGTGGAAGTGGCTTAAGCTTCTTAGTGCAGTGCTTTAACCCGCTGCGCCACCAGGGAGGGCCGGAATGTATCCATTTAACCAAACAATGATAGCACTGAGTACTGAGTACTTGGTGTTTTCACCCTTTGCGCTTCATGTAGGTTTTTTTTTTATTATTATTACAAAAGTTTATTTTTACATCACTTTGTACATTTTTTTTTCCATCTCGATTGTAATCCCCGCGGGTTCCCCATCACCAAATCACCCGTGTGCCATCACCATAATCCCATCATGTAGGTTTTTTTAAGAAGGAAATAACCACCCAAAGATTATGACTAAGATTTCATGAGCATTCCTTATATACTATGCCATATCACCTTATCTAGCTGTATCTGACAACAAACCAGGGAAGCTGAGAATAAGTCCTCACTCCTACTTTTCCTAGTCAGGCCGCTCTGAGTCCAGGCAGGCAGCAAGCAGCTGGACTCCCATAGCATGCTGAATGTCTCTACTGAACTTTGCTTCTCTGTTCTCTTGTTTTTCTTCAATGACTAATGAGGTTGAATATTTTTTCCTAGTGCTCATTAGGCATCTGCATTTCCTCTTCCGATCCTATTCTTCATGTGGCAGCATCACTTCTTCATCTGGCACCAGTAAGCCAAGGCCTCATAGAGCACAAATTAAGCAAGTAAGTATGTCTGTATGTCCAGGGCTACAAACCCTCTCTTACAGGTGTATTAGCCAGGGCAGAAACTCAAGGTTACTATGCTCACACATATCTAGTTGTCCTCAGTCCTCTGGCCCAAATCAGAGCATATGACATAGCAAATCTCTCCCTCCCAGCAGCCCCTTGTGAGAGGTGGCTTGCAGGGTGCTCAACTTGGCAGGGGGCAAACCCACCTCCAGATTGTTTTAAGCAATACCTGTCTTCTCCAGGCCTAAAATAACAGTAGGGAGAAAGTCAAAGAACAACAGCAATGAAATTTATGGTGAAATGTCAACAGCAACAAGGGATAACATGAGGAAAAGGGCCAGGATTCTGGGAAATGTGGCCCAAAACAGAAAAGAGCAATCCTTTACACACGGATCAAGGTGAACTGAGGCCACCTGGCGGTGTAAATTGAGCCCTGCATCATGTTCTTTAAAATAACAGCAACAAAAAAACAGAGACTAAGTTATATCTTAGACATTTCTAAGTTTGACAATTTCTTTGAAATCTATCCATTCAAACCCTTTATTTAACAAATGAGCCTATAAAAACCCAAGGAGTTGAAATTAGATGTAAAATCATGGAACTGGCCTGAAAGAAAAGTGAGGAACCAAGTCCCCCCAGAACTCAAGTCAGTTCTCTAAACTCCCCTTTAGATTCCCCCTCAAATTTCTCTTTCTACCTTTATAAAAAAAATTTTCTTTTAACATGATATAAGATGTTCAGAAAGCTTAAACAATAATACAAAGAATGCCATAAACCCTTTCCCTCAGATTCACCAAATGCTGGCTTTTTTCCCTATAATTGTGATAGTATTCTCTCAGCTGGCTGTCATACACACAAACACGTTTTCCTAAAACCCTGAGAGTGAACTATACACACTATGTCTCTCTATTCATGAACACATCAGTGTCTATTTTTGAAGAACAAAGACATACCCTGTCATAACCACTGTTAGCAATATTGGGATATTTAACATTCTTAAATACTACTAGCTATATTATAAATTTCATTCAAAGTTTGTCAACTACACTATCAAAATTCATTATAGTAAAAGAAAAAAGAATTTTTTTCTTCTCTGATCCAGGACCCAACCTAGGATCACATATTATGCTAGTATTCTTATTTTGAAGTTTTCCATTATAGAAAATTTTAAAGTGCAGCAGGCTATGCCATCTAGGTTTGCATCAGCACAACAGCCAAACTGCTTAACAACACATCCTTAGAATGTGTACTCATCACTAGTGGCTGTATACCCACACTTTTCTTTTCTCTCTCTCTCTTTTTTTTTTTTTTTTTTTTTTTTTTTTTTTTTTTTTTTTTTTTTTTTTGGTAAAAGGGAGTTGGGGACATGACAACAAACTAGGTCTAAATATTGGGTTATCAGAAAAATCACAATACGTCATAACTTTTCCAACAACCCAATACTTTCACAAAACAACTCCTAAAAGTAAGGATATTCTCCCATCCAACAACACCACCATTGTGATACCTTCAACAATGTATACTCTCTGTCATTTGCTATCCATTCCATCTTTGAATTTCCCCAATTGTTCCAAGCTTCTTATTATAGTTGTTTTCCCTTGATCCGGGATCCAGTCAAGATGAACAAATTGCATTTGGTTTTTGTGTCCTTAACCTTTTAAAATCCAGAATGCTGGACCCTCCCCGGTGGCACAGCAGGTTAAAGCACAGCACTATGATGAAGCTAAAGCTACTTCAGCACGAGTTCGATCTGGCCAGGAAGGTGACCCACATGGCGCAGCAGACCTCTCCTGCCTTGCCCGCTGCCCCCCTCAGCAATGTACTTGTCAACCTGCCTGCTCTGCTCCCCACTTTGTCTCTGACAAATCCTCTTACTGCCCCTGCCCCTCTGGCTTGTACCCCAGTTCTGTATGCCTAAATAAATCTTTAAAAATAATAAAGAAATATATAAAGAATAACTCTTTTTTTCCTTTTTTTGCATAGAACTGGGGTATAGGTCAGAGATGCAGTGGTAAGAGGATTCACCAGACATAGATTAGGGAGCAGAACAGGCAAATAAACTGCTGAAGGGAGCAGAGGGTGAGACAGGTGAAGTCTGCTGTGCCATAACTGGGTTAGCTCCCTGGCTGGGGACTGAACTCAGGCTGCAGCAGTAATAGTATTGAGACTTAACCATTAGGCCACCAGAGAGGCCCTAAAAGATAACATCTTATATGTGGTGTAATATCTTCACATAGGATTTAGCTACTAAGGTCAAAAACAAGGCGAAAATCAAAAATGGTCAGACGCATGCTCTTGTAAGTTGTGGGGAGGCACCAGAAAATCTGTGTATTTACTTTCCATAGATTCCAAACAGTCTGGTGCTGTGCTGTGTGGGTCAGTTTTTTAGTGTTTCCTGAGCTAAGTATCAAATAAATAGCTGGTTTATGTTTAGAGGCCTTGACAGCTTTAAAAATGTATCTTAAAAACTCCAGAATAGCACAAACGAGAGGCATAGGCAACTGAAGCTCAGAAAGGAAAAGAGCACAGTGACCTCTCCCAGATCACACTATAACTTTCTCACACAACACACATGAAACCACCCACACTATTTAAACTGTTACTGCTCTCTTTCTCCCCCCACCTCATTCCTAGACGTTATTATCAGATCCCTACTGGTTAAAGGTATACATAATGAGAAACAGCAGAATTACCATGTTAGCCCTTTCCATATCAGTAATTCACAATGAGGAAAAGTAACAGAAAATCTTAAAGTCAGTATGTGTTCCTGAATAATACAAACCCAAAACAGAGTCTCAGGATGGCACCAGGCTCCATGGACAGGTTTCTATTTCAATTCAGACTTGCTAATTAATAGATAAGGTAGTAAAAGCCATAGTCCCAAGCACAGTATAAGGGGGTTTGGAGGTGATTTAAAAACTACTGCCCAGGGCCCTCCCTGGTGGCGCAG